GAAATTTCGATATTACCATATTTACCATTTATGTTTTCGATATTACCTTATATCACCATTTCGGTATTACCATATTTACCATTTGTGTTTTCGATATTACCTTATATCACCATTTCGATATTACCATATTTACCATTTATGTTTTCGATATTACCTTATATCACCATTTCGGTATTACCATATTTACCATTTGTGTTTTCGATATTACCTTATATCACCATTTCGATATTACCATTTCGATATATATTACCAAATTCCGATATTACCATTTTCGATATTACCACACTATTTCCACAATTTTTTAAAATTGTTAGCATTATATTTCCAATGGGATAATTTCGTCATACGAAATTGGTAATTAATAGTCGTAATCAATTCACCATATCAACGAAATGATTGATGGTTATGTCACATATTCCTTCATCATGTTCGTACCGTTCATTATGTTGTTGTATTCTTTTCATATTTTCACATGTTCATGAATCGACGATATTTTCAAATTTATTTTTTGATCAAGCTTATCTTTAGTAAATTGCACTAATTATAAATAAAACTAAAATTATTTAATATTTAAAATGCTTTTAACCTTTAAAAGAACATTCTGTGATTTCAAAAATTATGTGTTAAACTTACCATATTTTCACTTGTAAAGTATGTTACCATACATATTGTTCCATAAAATATTTATCACCCAGTTTTTTTCTCCGGCAATTTCACATATTTTTAAAAAAGTAATTTTACTACATCTTTATTTCAAATATAATGGTTTAATTATATTCGATTTAATTTGACTTAATTTTGATTTTGTTCCATTTACTCCTTTACGCAAAACTATACATGTTAAAATAAAATTAAATATTTCAGAAATCTACAAACTGTCTTCCTATTCAAGCAATAATTGATGCTATATTAAATCACTTAGAAGTTTAAACTTTTATTAAGCAGTAATTTCAAGTAAAAAACTTCCAGTGAATAAATATTTACAGATATTATTATATTGTTTAAAAATAGTCGAATTACAACCGTATACTTTGCATTATTTCTCACTGATGAAGCTTGAGTGGTTAGAAAAAGCAATGATAAAATGAAACGGAGGGGAAAAGGGATGAAGTAACATTTCATTACAATGTCATTTGCAATTATTCCATTTCACTTTTAATGGAAAGAAATTACTGACAACAATTTTATTGACATGTTGAAGAGAATATTTGAAATGGTTTAATTGTTTAACATTTAAAACTTAATTGGAAAAAGGCATAACTTTTATTTGTAAATTTCTCATCATTAAAACATTTATTAAAGATGTTATTGATTATATTGCGATATATTTGATGAATTTTTTCTTGCAATAAATGTTCCATAACACAATAAAATTTCGTTTCTTTTTCTTGTTAATAAAAGAAAAAGTTTCCCAAAAAATGTTAGTTACTGCCATTTTTTTTTAATTTTTGCACGCAGCATTTTGCACATCCTTGTTGTTACAGTAATTTGTTGTTAGCCGCAACAATTACAAACGTGTCTTCTTAAGTTTATGATGAAGGAATTTTGTTATACGAATAATCATTTTTGATGGTAACAGCGAATTGAAACCTAACCTTTTGCGGTTAATTAATTGCCGATTGTTAAATTTAGAGATTTATTCTGCAGGTGTAATATACTGAAACCTTTTCATCACTCCAATATTTTTATTGGTGAAATCAGGATTGATAGATTTTCTTCAGCAGTAACGAATTTGAGAGAGTTTCCTTTTTCTCATCATATTTTTTCTGATTTTATTTTGTTAAATTTTCACAATCTCACAATAATTAAACAAAAAGTTTTCCTTTTACTTTTAACAAAAAATAAAATTTAATAAAAAAGTCGCATTGGAATCACATTTATAGGAAACCTTCATGGGATGATTTCTTTGAAGCAATTCTTAGCGGTATAACAAATTTAAAATGATTTATTTTATTTTTTAATTTATTACTATCGCAAAATTTATTTCATTATCAAAACAATCTGATTAGTTTCAATGAACTGTAAGGATACAAACATTTATATAGCATACTTGTATTAAAAAAAGAAAAAGCAAGGAAAAAAGTTTTATGTTTGCTGATTGGAACGATAATATATGAAAAATATGAAGTCATAGAATAAACTGGAATTAGAACTAAATTGAAATGTCATATCAAAGTAGATATATGGGAACCATAATTGAATTCCTGTCATTTGAAATATGATTGTACATTTCTGATTGCATGCAATAAATAAACAATGTTATCGAGGCAAATAATCAAATTGAAAAATCATGACAAATCAATTCAAAGAAAAAAAAATTATATTAATGCACAAAAAAAAACACAATTGACATTGAACATAAAAAGAAAAAATTTTTCCTGTTGATAGTAATAATGTTATCAGAGAAGAATTGATAATTATTAATAATAATAATAATAATAATAATAATAATAATAATAATAATAAT